GGTGATGACTAGCTGCCTTCCCTCTAGTCTTACACTGCTAAATTAGGGACGGCTAGCGCAGATAGCCCTCGTGTAGCTTTGCGCGAAATTCAAAAAACAAACAAAACAAAACAAAATTTACGCTTTTTCTGTAATAAAGCCCTAGTAGTTTAGTAAAAGGTTGCTGAGAAAATAACAATCGAATACTTTTACATATTTGACGTTATCATACCATGATGAACGTATTTTGTACGTAAAAAATAAAATGTAATTTATATATAATTCTCTACATCTTCAGGGTATTATTTTTAATTCATTGCGTCCTACAATTACTTTATTTCATTATTACTTTAAGTAGCTTCATCTATCTATCTAAAGTCTTATTTTACCAGATGTTATTAAACTGAAGACATACTTTACTAATTTTTTTCCTGTTTCCCAGGCTCTATCTCTCTGTCCACAGCTGTCAGGAGCTTTTGTAATGTTTTCGTTTCGTATCAGTTCTCGCAACCCTAAACCAATAATGTAAACACTATCCCGGATGTGAGCAGCCGCATCAGAAGCATTGACTAGAGTGAGAGCCAGTAAACCTGAGCACAGAGAATTACTTTTAAGTCCAAAACATTCTCCATTCGTTAAAGAAATAAAAGATACAAAAGCATAAGATACTTTGCATTAAAATACAATTAAACAAAGAAAACATAATTAAAATAATAACTTGGTAAACTTCAATACATATTAGTCTTAACCATCGAAAATAATTACTTTAAAAGTTCAGAAAATTATTGTGTATATGAACCCTGTTTATATAATGGAACTTCAAATTACCAACATACGTACCACTACCTCAATGTATCAGCATCTTCCAGCATACATACACATTAGACAAAAAATTCCAGTTGAGTATAAATTTGAAGTCTGTATTCGATCCTGAGATGAAATTGGTAGTAAATTAAACACGAATAAGCTTTTCATTCTTGATTCTTTTATGTTATCGCAGTTTAAAAAAAAAAACTAACCATCTGGTCTATTGGCAGCCTTCAAGGACTGTTCCGAAACGATCCACACATAAGCAGGACTTATCATTTTTAGCTGTTCTACCTCACGAAATATCGATTCAGCATCCTCAGTGCTAAAATGAAGAAAAAAAAACCACTGTAAAAAAAGATACAGACTTCTAGAAGAACGTATTAAAATCTGAAAATAATTACAACGATACTTTAACAAAATAGCTCGATAGATTCACTAAAAATATACATATAAAAATGAAAACTCGAGTGTGCTGAGACTAAACCTAAAGTATGATTATATTCAGAGTCGCAATATAATGAAATTTTTAATCTGAAGGTTATTCAAGATGTACGTAAAGTAAAATATAAAGGCTAGTCTAATAAAACATAAGCAAACTATTACAAAATCAATGATTTTGCATATAGTTCAAATTCATCAAGAGATTGTACTTAATTTGTATTGTATGGAGCGTTTATGAAAATATATTTGTTTGACTTCTTATTACAGTGGTAATATGCATCGAATTTTTTATTTTGCTTTATAAATTACAGGGGTTCGGATCCCCGTCACACCAAACATGCTCGCCCTTTCAGCCGTGGGGGCGTTATAATGTGACGGTCAATCCCACTATTCGTTGGTAAAAGAGTAGCCCAAGAGTTGGCGGTGGGTGGTGATGACTAG